ATCACAACAGAAACCCAATATTTTTACTGTTGCCTTTGTTATATTTGTGTTTTATTTGTGCTGATAAATAAATAAAGGGAGACAAAGATAGCAAACTCTGAGCCTAGAGTTATTTGGCACAGACCACTAAATCAACATTTGGAACCTGGCTACTTTACCTACTACTGAATAATACTCAGAATTGTCTCTTGATGAGGGTGAAAGTACAGGGGATCCCAAAACTTTTGTGTTCAGAAATGTCAGCAGAGAATAAAACAAGTATCATATTACTCCTGGATTTATTGTTTAAGAATATTTGCCTTTGCCTCACAGTTAGGTACTCTGTATCTTATTTCGATAAGTTAAGGACTGTTGCTTCTACTCACCAAACCTTAAGGAAAACGAAGCCAGTGTCCAGAGTGAGCCATAGAATTATGCTTTTTAAGACTTGAAGTCCTAATTAATTTAGTGCCTCCCACTTGGAGGAGGAGCCACGTGGTAGTGATAAGGCAGGGTGCACTGGAATTCTTGCTTATAATCAATAAATTAAAAACCTGAAGCATTCTAGCCTAGCACAGTGAGAAAAGTCGGCTGTGTTAATTTCTAATTCTCAAGGCTGGAAAAAAAAATCCTCTTTGAGAAAATTCCAGGCTGTTTTTAGCTTATTCAGAGGCAAATAAGTTTTTGTAGTCAGTTGTGGATGTATTGAAGTGGAGACTAGACAGTAATGTGCTGAAAAATGTGCTTTCGTTTGTCTTCCTACACTGAGCAGTGTTAGATTTGTTAGCCTCTTTTAACTACTCTATTCTCATCCGTAACAATGTCTGCCTTGGTTCATACAGACTTTCGTCTTCTTCCAATTCAGGCTTTCTTCCCTTAGCTCTACCAAAATAAACATAGATCTGAATCACATGCAGAAAGAAGAAGAAGAAAAAAGACCCCGTCTGTTATTCAAAACATTTGGCAGAGCTGATCCAGCGTTGCACCTGAATGAAAATGAGCTCAGTCAAGTTTACTGATTGCAGGCTATTAGCCACAATTTAACAGAAAAAGTCTGTGCTCTTCGTATCTCGATATTCCAAAGTCCTCAGCGTGTCTGCGGAATGAATTAAGGACTTCACTTTGTCATTTTTTTCTCCTTTGGTCATTACCATGCAATGTGGAACTTACTCATATTAGCATACCTCTACTGAAAGCAACAGATTAATAGGAAAACTCAAAAAACTCAAAAACTCCAGCTCTCCAGGGGTGAGGGAGATAGGAGAAGTGTTCCAAGTTCCAAGGTTAATAGTAATATTTACAAAGGGTTCTCAGATAGGACTTATTCAGCATGCCTTGGAAACCTGAAGAAATGCCAGGAACCACACTAAACTCTTCCAAGCCACTTACCAGGGATTGCCATTCAGCTGCTTTCAAAGCAAAAAGCAGAATAAAAGACAAGAAAAGGTTTTATTGGGAGAATATCATAAACCCTGACTGAATTGTCGACTAGAACTAGTCCTTCTATCAGCTAATGTCACTGTTTCCCTCTCCAGTGGTTGTAATACTATAATTTTACTTCTCCAGTCTTCTTATTTGCCAGATAATGAGACCTGCTCTGTCCTACTATATTGTAAGGTTGCTTGCAAGGGGGAAAGTAGATATAAATTAAGCTTTGAGAGCATTGCTGATTTTCAAGAGCAAATTAGAAAGTCTGGGGGGTGACACGATAGCAGTGTTTCAATATCTAAGGGGCTGACACAAAGAAGAGTGGGGTCAACCCGTTCCCCAAAGCATCCGAATGCAGAGCAACAAGCAATGGATGGAAACTAATCAATGAGAGATACAATCTAGAACTAAGGAGAAATTTTGACAAAACAATTAACCAGTGGAACAGCTTGACTTCAGAGGTTGTGAGTATTCCATCATTGGAGATTTTTAAGAAGAGATTGGACAAACATTTTTCCTGGCATCTCCTGCTTGAGCAGGGAGTGGGATTAGAAGACCTCCAAGATTCCTTTCAATTCTGTTATTCTGTACCATAGTGGGTGAGGTCATTATAGTGGGGTGAGGAACTTGCCTGAAGCCCTGCCTAGTTCCTAGTTTGCCTAGTATCTAAGCAAACATTCATCCAAAGAAGGTAAACACTGCGCACATATTGTATACTGTGCAGAAATGGCAGGTAGCAAGGGTTACAATTAGTGCCTGGATATTGTGAAAATGCCAGCAGGTATGATACTAAATCTCTCTTACTCGTGCATAAATCCGGTCTGGATCATCCCAACAAGGCTAAGATGAAAGTGAAAGAATCAAAATTCCACAAGCAAAGGCTGTACGAAGTCTCTGAAACTGTGTTTCCAGAAGTAAACCAATGTACGTTGCAAAAAAACACATTTTATACAAGTATTTTTTTTTTAAAGTACTTAACTGAAATTCGAACTCTGGGGGTTTATTAGCTCCTTTGTGGCATACAATAATATTTCAAAGGCAAAGCAGAAACAACTGCTTGGTACCAAGACCATCACACGAGGATTTGGTTTCCCAGAGGTCTATAAATATGTAAACACACATTTCATTTTCTGCTTAGAAAATGGTAATCTGTCTTAAAAGACAGACTTCCACATACTACTGATTCAATATTTGCCAGCCTACCTATCACTGTAATGTACTTTCTAAATTACTGAACAAATAAAATATCCCTAGAAACTGGTGTTTTTTTTTTCACAGACAAGTTGCAGATAAACTGTACTGCCAATTATATCCACAAGCCACAATACATGAGTATGTTTTCAGGCAGACCCTCTCATTCATCCCTTTTATATTACCTTTTTTTGCATAATTTTTTAAGTTTCCATTTCAAATGGATGAGCCTGTAACTTTAGCCATTTGAGTTTCATCTTCCCTACAGATAAAATTACTCTTTTTAAATGCTGCACTGACCAAATCATCCTTTTTTTCAGAAATACCCACGCACAAAACACATATTTACAGTCACACAATTGTGTTGCAGTTTCAACCCTGGCACTGAACATCTAAAAACAATATATTTTTTTGCCTCGGTTTTCTTAGAATTGCACTACCCACAGTTTAAGTTTAAATTAGGTAGCAATCATGACTTCTGTTTAAGATTCCCCCATGTGAAAATGGAAAAAAAAAAAACCTTTACAGCCCTGAATCATTTCTTAAGAAATGCAGATCTTTCTGACGTACCTTATGAACGGAGAGGATTTCCTCTTCGGCGCTAAGACTTTTCAACAGCTTCTCTCACATTTCAGTAGTTCCAAGACATGTCACAGCCAGCAAGAGCTCAGAGACTGAAAAATAAAACCATTTTCCCCTTTCCGTCTTTCTTCCCTGCTGCATGGGAAAGCTTTACACGTTATACACTTGAAAGTGCACTCATCTCTCCCTCCCTCTCTTCACTACGAGAAATAATCTCCTCCCTGCTATTAGCATGTTACCATTATCTCTTAAAGCACATGTCACCACACATATACAAAAGCTGTGTGAAAGCTATACTTATTTATACAAGAAGCCAGAGCCACATCACTTCCTAGTTCCCAAGTCCCATTTCAACTGCAGGTGAGATTATTTTTAACCCTCCCAGAGGTTGGCTGATGTCTAACTTACCTTTTTTTTTTAATTAAGAGCAAATACTTCCTGAATTCTAACTGGTTAGTCCAGGAAAGCTATCAAAACATTTTGTTCCAGCTATAATTAAAGAGCTGGATCACAATTGATTTGGAGCACACACACACACACACACACACACACAGACAGACAAAGACAAAAGCATCATAAGCTTTTGATTAGAGCTGCTGCTTTTTATTTCCTCCAGACTTCTTGGTCTTTAACTGTTGTGAGAGACGCAGAAACACAGCAAAGGGTATCATAAGGGCTGCATCCACTGAATTTCTTTACCTTATACACATCTATTAATGATACAGCCGGTGTGTTTAGAGATGGGTTATGCTGCTCAGAATTGATTCTTCTGTTGCCTTATTCAGCACCCCCAAAGTTTAGGCACGGTAGAGAAACTACACTGAATGTAACACGGAAAAGCAACATTAGATTGATGTAGTAGTGGTTAAGATGCTAACTAGAAACTGGGAGACTGAGTCCAAGTTCTCCTTTAGGCATGAACTCTGGCTGTGTGACTGGGCAAGGAACCTTCTCTCAGCTCAACCCAGGACTGTTATTATGGGGAAAGTAGGGACCAGATGCATTATGTTATATCTCCTTGACTGTATGTCTGCAAATTAAAGATGGGATAGAAAAGATAGATAGATAGATAGATAGATAGATAGATAGATAGATAGATAGATAGATAGATAGATAGATAGATAGATAGATAGATAGATAGA